TATCTTTAAGATACATGGACTTTAACTCCCAGAATTCCCCAGCCAACATGAAGTCTACTCATCTTAACAATGCCAAGGTTGAGAAACCCTGATCTAGAGAATGCATAGGTCAGGGAAAGTACTGTACAAGTCTTTAGCACAATTATACATTTTAATAAAATCTCACTATTAAGGTTTCAAGAAATTTTTCCTACAAAATGAAGAGAAACAAGCTAATAATCAAACTCAACAGGGAAAATGAACCAGAAATATATCAGAATAAGAATCAGTTTTCATTTTATTACTGTCTGAGCAAAACCCTGAGACATTAAGGTGGCCAATACTCACATTTTTCCCCCATTAGATTTTTTTTTCCTGGCTATAAAACAAATTTCAATTACTGTCCTTTGGCTTAAAATGACAAGGGCATATCTGCTGGAATAATCAAAAATAACACTATGAAAGATGCCAAAGGAGAATCTTTCTGCTATATGGCTACTGCTTGGTCTGCAACATTAACTGGCTTTCTTTTTATAATTCTCTGGCTGTGATACTGAACTACAGCTAACCCAGCAAATTTTTAAAAGGTTGAGAAAAAAGACTCAATCCCTCTCTTGCATTTAACTCTCCCTTTAGTTTTTCCTTTAGATTACAACTCACTTCTAAAGTTACTTGATTTTGTTATCTCAGCAAACAAGTACTTATGTCTAAAAATGAGATGTTGGCCTTTCCTGCTCGTCTGATGCAAATGGACCACACTGAAACATAATTTTCAACAACTTTTTTTCAAACACAGGTCAGCACTGTATAGGTTGTGATCCTTAGAAGTAAATGCAGTGCGTCACATGGCAAGTTGCGACATATAACTACAGGTTTGACTTTTAGTTTGTGTTTATATGCTATGGATACCTGAAATAGATAAAAGTCTGTTTATCTGCAGTTCATCACATCCTACTATGAACCAAGATAAAGAACTGAAGTTCAGCAGATTCAAATAGTCTTCACCAGTCAAATATTCTTCCTAATCTGCATCAATTTCCCCGGCAATATTTCCTATGAAACTGGCTTTGAAAGATTGTTATTCCCTCCTAAATAT